AATGGCTTTACGGATCGTACGGTCCGTACGGTTCGTGAATATGATTTACGGACCGTGAACATGCTTTGTCGATGGTGATGTTGTGTTTAAGTCACGCCAGAAAAGTTTGTCGATCCGTACGGATCGTACGGTCCGTACGGTTCGTGAATATGATTTACGGATCGTGAACATGCTTTGTCGATGGTTATGTGGTGTCTAAGTCAGGCCAGAAAAGTTTGCCAATCCGTACGGATCGTACGGTCCGTACGAACTGTAAAATGGCTTTACGGATCGTACGGTCCGTACGGTTCGTGAATATGATTTACGGATCGTGAACATGCTTTGTCGATGGTGATGTGGTGTCCAAGTCAGGCCAGAAAAGTTTGTCGATCCGTACGGATCGTACGGTCCGTACGAACTGTAAAATGGTTTTACGGATCGTACGGTCCGTACGGTTCGTGAATATGATTTACGGATCGTGAACATGCTTTGTCGATGGTTATGTGGTGTCTAAGTCAGGCCAGAAAAGTTTGTCGATCCGTACGGATCGTACGGTCCGTACGAACTGTAAAATGGCTTTACGGATCGTACGGTACGTACGGTTCGTGAATATGATTTACGGATCGTGAACATGCTTTGTCGATGGTGATGTGGTGTCTAAGTCAGGCCAGAAAAGTTTGTCGATCCGTACGGATCGTACGGTCCGTACGAACTGTAAAATGGCTTACGGATCGTACGGTCCGTACGGTTCGTGAATATGATTTACGGATCGTGAACATGCTTTGTCGATGGTAAAATGGTTTTACGGATCGTACGGTCCGTACGAACTGTAAAATGGCTTTACGGATCGTACGGTCCGTACGGTTCGTGAATATGATTTACGGACCGTGAACATGCTTTGTCGATGGTGATGTTGTGTTTAAGTCAGGCCAGAAAAGTTTGTCGATCCGTACGGATCGTACGGTCCGTACGAACTGTAAAATGGCTTTACGGATCGTACTGTCCGTACGGTTCGTGAATATGATTTACGGATCGTGAACATGCTTTGTCGATGGTGATGTTGTGTTTAAGTCAGGCCAGTCTTTGTAGTGCCCTATCAAAGGCCTGTATACGGTTTGCCATATCAAAGTAATCAAAGATATATTCTTGTCAGATTGTGTGTGGCTGTGTGCAAAGACTGCGGACAGAACAATAGTGGCGTTTGTGAATGAGACTATGTTATAAGGCGAAAAAAGGCGTATACGTATACCAAAGTATTAAATGAGAATATTATGTCAATGACAATGACATTGTAATCCTGGATGATTCCGTTTCATGGCACCTGCCGTCCGCCGAAAAGATATTTGATAGGTATAGCATTCAAATGTGCAGTATATAACATACAGTTTATACACGGTTTTATGCACATTTATCTTATAATTGCGTGCAATTATATGAACATACAACATACAAAAATTTTAAAAAGCAAGTATGGGTGAAAAGTTTCCACGCACGAAAAGTTTTTGCAGCACAATTGTTCCTAAGGCTAAGGGTGGTTATGAATAGAAGAAAGCGAAAAGAAAGGCAGCGTTGACAGCGCTGTGCCGACAAACCTATTGTGTCATTCGAATTGGGAAAAATATTTGTGTATAAATATTACCTGACATACTAGCTACAGTGTGTGTGAAAAAAACGCAATCCAACTTTAGCAGGAATTTGTGCCTTTATTAATTAGTGGCTGTAAAAGCAAGTATGGGTGAAAAGTTTCCACACACGAAAAGTGTTTGCAGCATAATTTTTCCTAAGGCTAAGGGTGGTTATGAATAGAAGGAAGTGAAAAGAAAGGCAGTGTTGACAGCGCTGTGCCGACAAAGCTATTGTGTCATCGGAATTGGGAAAAATATTTGTGTATAAATATTACCTGATATCACTAGCTACAGTGTGTGTAAAAAAAAAGCAATCCAACTTTAGCATGAATTTGTGCCTTTATATAGTGGGTGTATGAACGTAATTTTTTATTAGGCGTGGTGATGTTTTTCATTATCAGGCATTATGTCCCAACAGTATATTGAAATAAAGTATTGTTAGAATTTGAATGCCCTATATAATTGCTATAAAGGCCGTTTTCCTCTAGGTCCAATTTTTTAAACAGTTCTTTATGCTGGTACAATCTATATGTCATAGTTTTATGCACTTGTTTCTGGGTACGTTCAGCAGATGGCCGGAGTGCTGACACTGGTGAAACATTCAAATTATAACAGAACGTTATTTAAATGAAATTTTGATTTTTTTGGCACATCCTGTACAGGGTGTATAAAAAACTAGGTAATCGAACTTCAGTTGCGTATGAAGAAGATTTTTCGTATTCGGAAAGATCACGCTTGTAGGTGTTGAATGATGTGTTCTTAATGCCAAAGGATAAAAATTAAGGGTGGAAGTACTAAACTCCCTAATGATCGGAAGACAAACACTGTGTGAAACGTTTTTCTGTAAAATATGAACTGCATGAGAGTAACCGTAAACTCCATGCACAGCTTCCGCGAAAACACCAAGCGAAATATAATTTAATTTAATTTAACACACAAAACGCGTCTATGATATTCCAATAATGCATGACTATAACACTAACCGCTTTAGAATGGTATTTTTATACCATCCATGCTATACTATAATAATTGAGTAGACTAACATATCTAATATTTAAAGTTATAGCTATACTATTGTACAAATGTACGTAATTCAGGCAGGGTTGCTGGAAAGTGACTTTTAATAAATATCTATCCTAAGTAGGAGAAAAAATATTAGTCGGAATCGCATATTCTCACCTGTGACTATGTTCCTTATTAAAGCAGTGTATATACTAGAAAAAGCAATTAATCAGGAAGGTGTCATAGCTTAGCTGAGATTTCATAATAATTACTGTATGCATATGCGGGTAGTGTATTGAACTATTGAAGTGAAATTCATCAACTTAAGTCCCAAGAGGAGCTAATTTTCAATAGTTTTAGACGCAACTCTCAACGGTAAACTAAAAATAGGCGATTCCGCGAGGCCGCGGCCAGTGGGAGTGATAATTAGTTTTCTGCATTACAAATAATTTTGTAATAGCTGACCTGCATCTAAAGAGGAAAGCGGACTTATATTCATTTATGCAATGTTCTTTCGTCAAAATTCAAGATCTGATTGGTTATGTTAGTGAATATATGATGCGACCTAAAACGACCTATAAAGCAACTTATGTATGCAGATTATTTGTTATGATATGGATGAAAATAAAATTATTGCTTGCCTCTGCAAATTCCAATTCCCGGGCCGATATTATAGGTGCATATGCAGAAAGCGAGTATATCTAGCTGGAGTATATAGTGAACATGTGATAACTTATGAAACAGCATTGTGTTTTGCTCAGGGACAACCTTCATTGAAATACCTGTATATATATGTAATCTTCACAGTACTGCATCTAAAATAATTGATATGTCATGCTTCGTTCTTTAAAAGCATTGCGTAAATTGAATAACTGGAAATATTATATATAAATAAACTTTCACATTTTAAAAACATTGCGTGAACTGAACTGAACTGAACTATACTAACATACTATAATCCTCACAGTAGTGGTCTATAACTATAATAATTCATATATCATGCTTCGTTTTTTAAAACTGCATTGTGTAAATTGAATAACTAGAAATATATATTATATATAACTTTCATGCATTTGATTGCGTTAACTTAACTGAACGGAACTACACAGCCGCATCTATAATCATTCATGTATCATGCTTCATTTTTTAAAAGCAAAAACATTGCCATTGACATTGCGCGAACTGAATAGTGAAGTCTTGCAACTTCTACTGAATAGAAACTTAAGATAGAAGAAATAGTCACAAAGTGTCAAAGGAGACTATATAGACCAATTGCGAAACTTAGTGGCCGCGCCTTCATAGTGCACGAGAACGAGGCTTATTATGCAAAAACAAAACAATTTCTATATTTTTATATAGCGAAAAGTGAATTTTAGGGTTTTTAAAGTGTTTTTTTCTTGAATCGCTTTGATCTTTTCTTAATATTTTGTGCTAGGTTATATAGATATTTGTTAAATTTATCTAAACATCGATTTCCCACTATATTTTTACTCCCTTTGGAAAGATATTTCGTTGTTGTTTTAGCATGCGGTAGAACAAACATATGGAAAAGATCAATCTAGACTTTAAAATCTGATCAAGATGCATATAAAATAGCCAGTATAACTTAACAAACTAAAATATAACTCTTTCTACCCAGATTTTTTTAGACTTCGTGCGAAAAAAAAAGATTTTGTCAAAGGATAATAACATAAAATTTCTACAAATTTTGCCCGACATTTACTTTCATATTTTGAAAGTTAAAATGAAAAACTTACTATTATATTACAACTGAAACAAAATTAATCAATGTTACAACTTATTCTTTGAAATGTGTTAATAAACAGACGGAAAATACCTGATTCTTTCTCTGGTATAATCTGCTTCTTTTATCGGACGGCGAAAAACAGCAAAACTTTGCCTCGCACGCCGTGAAAAAAAAATGAAATTTGAAGTAAGACTAAATCTATGAACAAGTTTAATAAAGATTTACATAGTCAAAACAGAAATATTGAAAAAAAATGAAGAGATTACCATAAAAACCCGTCTCAAACACTGAAATTCATTTTTCACCATATAAAAATATAGCAGAATGATTTGTTTTTGCATAATAAGCCTCGTTCTCGTGCAGTATGAAGGCGCGGTCACTAAGTTTCGCAATTGGTCTATTATATAAAATATAATAATTTAATATTAATTTAAACTGTTTGCAAACTTTAACTAAAAGACCTTCAAAGGTATAGTTCACAAAGATTATATGGTTCAAATTAGTTTAATGCATGCATGCATGAGTTTGAACTAGATCCTTTTACTCTTTTACTGAGATCGATCCATATACAAAACCTTTTTGAAATGTAGATCAAAATAAAACCATCTTCTCTCATGTTTAGTAATGTTCGCTATAATCCAATTTACTTGTTCCCATCGTTTGACTGTTTTATTTTTATCCCAAAATGTTGAAGACACAATCCAATCTTTTATCATTGTTGGCGGACAGCCATTGCCCATCAGGAACAGCACTAACTTAAATGTTTCTTCATCACCAATTGGTTTCTTCCAAAACGCACTTCTCATATCATTTGGCCACACCGACGGTGGGTAAAACATATCGCCATCAACACTTCTGAACAAAGCTCGTCTTCTCTCTGATATTTGTCTTTTTGATGAAGTTATGACGAAGTTTGTTGCTTCACACATATTGCTGATGTAAAACTAGTACTTGCGAGAATCAGTTAAATTACATAAATACGTGCATGCTATTTGATTACTTTTTAACTTGCTTCAAGTTTCATATTCTGTTTTTTATACAGACCCGTATGCCGAACAGTAACACTTCCGCCCATTGTTTTCTTTGCAAAGCAAAGAATTACGCGTTTTAAGATATCAGGATATATTTTGC